CACCTATGGAAAGGACATATCAAGGAGGAGAGAAGGAAGTGAGGACACGAACAACGAAGCAGCTAAGATGTCTTTTTAGTTAAAGGCAAATGAGAAAGGGAGAGGTAAGGCCCTTCTCCTCGGAAAAGCAGTTCAATGCCATGAAAGCCTCCAGGAGGCAAAGACTCTGTCTTGACTCTCCGGGTCCTCCGCTTGAGGATCACGGCCACCATGCAGTGTGCAGCCACTGTCTGTTAAGACTGAGGCTGAATAGCTAGAGCAGGCTCTCCTTTCGCTCTCTGTAGGGATGCACAGGAAGGCTCAACGGGATCCCGGTGCGTGAAAGCCCTGTGAATCAGGTCTTCAAACAGGAATGCTCTGTGCTAAGCCAGTAAACAGGGAGCAGGTGTCCCTAGTTACAAGGCTTGAGCAACCCCTTAAAGCAGGGGTTCTCAACCTCCCGGACGCTGCGACCCTTTCATACCTCATACTAAGGTGACCCCCCAGTCATAAAATTATTTTTCATTATTAGTTCATAACTGTAGTTTTGCTACTGTTGTGAATCATAATGTAAATATCCGATACACAGGATATCTGATATGTGACCCCTGTGAAAGGATTGTTGGACCCCCAAAGGGGTCACAAGCCACACGTTGAGAACCACCGCCTTAAAGCGACATGATGGGCTACTGGTTTTCAGTCCCCGCTGTGAAAGCTGTGCACAGACACCTGGCATGGCATAGCCCCACTTTGGGATTCACTCCTCTCTTAGTTCCTTTTCTTGTTGCTATGACAAAATACCTAAAAAACACAACTCAAAGAAGGAAGGCTTGCAGTCGGAGGGACCACAGTTCATCATGGCGAAAGCAGCACGGCAGCCGGAGCTTGGGGCAGCTGGCCACACTGCATTCCGTCCATAAACGGAGAGACATCAATGCTGGCGCTGAGCTGGCGTCCTTTTAACTCCGTTCAGTACCCTAGACCATGAAATGGTGCTCCACATGTTCAAGGTGGGTCTTCTCGCCACCCTCAAAACTCCAGAAACACCCTGTAGACACGCCCAGAGGTGTGTCTCCTAGGCCATTCTAAGTCCCATCAAGCTCTCTTCACAATATAACGTTGGCATATAAGCACTTGTGCTAGCTTTCCAATCACGTCCTTCAGAAGAGTTGGCCAGGAAACGGAAAATGCCACCCAGCCCTCTCACTGATTAAGAACTCAACCTAGAAATCCTGCCTTCCGATGTGTGCTGTGACCTTTAAAAGTCACTTAGTCTTCCCATGTCTCAGCTTCTGCGTGAAAACCAACTTAAATGACCTCTCAAGGGATGGGGGATACAGCTCAGTGTTACAGTGCACGCCTAGCATGGGTAAAAACATAGGTCCCACCGCCATTCTCATGACCCTCCCCTCCTAAGAGCAAAGAGCTCCCAGTTTGAGCCCTGGAACATCGGAGCATCGTCTCGATGGACTTTAGAGGAGCTGGTGATGTCAGATGGAGAAGGCTTGAGAGCAAGGCCAGCTGCCTGAAATGGTAGGCGTCTACCACCGGAGGGTGTGCAGCTGCTTTCCTCTGCTGGAATTTCATTTTTGAGGCAGCATTTCCAGCAGCAATGCCCAGTTACCTCAGGCTAGCCAAGTATATGAAAACTTATGGAACTGGAGAGATGGCTCAGCAGTAAAGAGTGTTTATTTTTCTTATGGAGGGCTGGAGTTTTGTTTTGGTTCCCAACACCCATGTCAGGCAGCTCACAAGTCTGTAACTCCAGTTCCAGGGGATCCAATGCCCTCTGGCCTCTGAGGGTACCTCCTTGACATGCATATTATCCTATTACACATGTATTTTTAAAAATAAAAAAAAAGCAGGGGGCTGGAGAGATGGCTCAGAGGTTAAGAGCACTGACTGCTCTTCCAAAGGTCCTGAGTTCAATTCCCAGCAACCACATGGTGGCTCACAACCATCTGTAATGATATATGGTGCCCTCTTCTGGCCTGCAGTCATACAAGCAGACAGAATACTGTATACATAATAAATAAATATTTAAAAATAAAAATAAAAAAAGCAAACCAAGAAATCATACATATCAGTCTCAGCTTCAGCTCTGACAGTCGTGGCCAGCAGGACAATCTGATCTCTAGAGCACAGGCTCTGAGGAAGTCTGTTCTGTATAAGTCACAGTCTTCTTCCTGGTGGCGTCAGCATCAAAAGCCCCTTCCCCCCTTCCGAAAATCCTAGCTCCCTCCCAGAAGGCGCTCACCAGATCCCGTGGAACCCTCCCTTTACTTGTCTCATTTGCCTTTGCTTTTAAATTACAACCCTATCTCCGTGCAGCCAGATGTTTTCACCTTTGTCTGCACACTGGAATGACCTGTAGCCCTCAAAAATAAAAACACAACAAGGGGCTTTTGATTCTGAGGCCGCCAGGAAGAAGAGTGTGACTTATACAGAACAGACTTCCCCAGAGCCTGTGCTGGAGAGAGCAGATTGTCCAGCTGGCCGCGACTGTCAGAGCTGAAGCTGAGACTGATACATGGGACCTCTTGATTTGTTTTGTTTTTTTTTTTCAGATTTGTTTTAACATGTGTAACGGGAGAGTATGCATGTGAGTGATGAACCCGCGGAGGTCAGAGGGCTTTAGATCCCCTGGAACTGGAGTTACAGGCTTGGGAACTGTCTGACATGAGTGTTAGGAACCAAAATGAAACTCCAGTCCTCTGTAAGAACAATAAACTCTCTTTACTGTTGAGCCATTTCTCCAGTCCCGTAAGTTCTCATATACTTGGCTAGCCTGAGGTAACTGGGCATTGCTGTCTGAAAATGCTGCCTCAAAATAAAATTCCAACAGAGGAAAATAGATGCCCACCCTCAGAGCATCAAACTAAAAGAACAAGTCAGTGTTGGCCACGTTCCAGATGCCAGCTGTAAGCTCAATAAAGAACTAGGGACATTACAGCATAGTAAGTGTCTCCTGCTCTGTTTTCCCCAGAGGAAACTGAGACTCAGAAAGGGACCTGTCAACACTCTCACAGTGGTGAAGTTGGTAGACCATGGTGGACCTGGAGTCCTAGGTCCCTCTGACTCCATGTTCTGGTTCTACATTCCTTACATTAATGGCACAGCCTTCTCTCATCATTAAAGTAGATGAGATAGATAGATAGATAGATAGATAGATAGATAGATAGATAGATAGATAGAAAGACTGGTAAATAGGTAATAGGAGATGGGTGGATGAATGAATAGACAGATTGATAAATAGGTGGTAGATAGGTAGATGGATGGATAGATAAATAAATAGACAGACAGAAGTTGTAAGTAGAAGTCGGTGTCCTCCCTGTCCTATGCCAAGGCATCCCTCCCATGTAGACTGACCCCTGCCTGTGGTACCTAGCATCCTACATGGCACATATTAATGCTCAGTATGGGTTTATAGAATAAAGTGAATGAGGCAGATGCCTGAGCTTTAGCAAATTCAACCATTGTGTCCCAAGAAGACAGTAATACAGGCTACCTAGAGCCATGTTGCTGGCAGATACCAAAGGCCTGGTCCCTCCTGTCAGGGAAGAAGCAGAAGGAACTGTTCGGATGCCCTGAAGGGACATAGCTCTGGCCCAAATCAGTCCAGTACCTTCCACCATCCTGAGATTCCCCTTGGAACCATGATCATCCTCTTAACAGCACTTAAGTTTCTTAGCAGGAACCTTTATCGTCCTTGAAGAGCACATGTCCCTCTGGCGACAGTCTGCCTTCTTGTCCAGCTTAGAAACTGTACCATCACCCTTATCCCCTTCCCATTGGCATTGGGAAAGCTTGGTGCTTTGCTTGGTCTTTTGAGGGAAGAATTCTGAACACAAATGATGGGCTTTATGGGGAGATGCTGGGAGTTTCTGCATCTGAGCATCAACCTCACTAGAAGCCAAGAGCACACAGGGGTCTCCTAGGTCAAGAGCCTCTGAGCTTCAAGTGGAAATGCTAACTCAGGCTCAATCTCTGCAGCCTGCGTGCAATGAAACTTAGGGATTTTGAGATTTCCTGAAGTGGGAGACTTTCAGGGAAGGGTTACAAGCGAAGAGGTGAGTTAATATGCAAGAACCCTAAAATCCCTGAGTGTGGGGTGCATGTCACTGCTCTGTGAGGAGTACACACAAGTTAATAAAGTGACCCCAACGCTCTCTCTTCCACTTATTTCATCTTCATCAGGCCTATTCTGTGACCCCCCCCTCCCGCAAGGGTTGCTATGTATACCAAGAGGCAAAGTAGGTAACAATTGTCACCACGCTGGGACCTTGCAGAAAGGTCTTCATCAAGGAAGCCAAGCAAAGAAGCCTCACCAGCAAGGCCTTCAGTTGGCAAAGTGATCCTTGCAGATCCAACAACCTGAGTTCAATCCCCAACAACCACATTCAACAAAAAGCCAGGTATGGTGGCACAGGTTTGTAATGTCTGTGCTGGGGAGGCAGAGACAGGCAGATCCCTGGAGCTCCCTGATCAGCCAGTCCAGTCTACTTGGGCAAGTTTCAGGCCACTGTTTCAAAGTGGGGGAAAAAAAATTGGATGAAGCCCAAAGAATAACAGCCAAGGCTGTCCCAAACATGCACAGGCACAAAAAAAAAAAAATTCTCCATTGCAGCCCTCTCACTACCCCCAATGAGAAGCCTGGGGACCCTGTTATTTCCAGGGTCACCACTGGTCAAGCATCCTCCAAGCCCAACAGTCAATCTAAACCCCAGATGGACCCAAACCAACACAGAAATGATATGAGTCAGTCACTGGGAGCCAAAGCAAACGGCTTTATTATCTCAGACTCAGATACACTGTATTAAATTTCAGAACCTATGAGAACACACTCAGAAAGAAAAACTGACCAAGGAACAGGCCCTCAGAACAGAGACCCTGAAGCCCATTGAAATGAGGAGGCGCCAAGGCCTGAAGGGCAACCAGACTTAGTTGACAGGGTCTCAGAAGCTTTAAGGCATAGATTTGCAGGGACCCTCTCAGGGCCTGGGGCCTGGGTCCAGCATGAATGGAGATATTTGGGCTGTAAGAGTTAGGGTGGACAAGATGCCACTTCAGAACCCTGAAGGCAACGGCCTTGACCATCTGGATCTGTCCCTCTCAGAACCTGCCCCCAGGGCAGGGAACACAGACAGGGCGGGGGCTGCTGGTTGCACGGGCTGCTCCAGCACTGCAGGAGACCGCAGGAAGGCAGGGGAGGCATGACTTAGAGGCTGAGTAGTCTGGGGCACACGGGTTGCAGGGAAGCCTGGAAAACAGAAGAGCGTTGGCTTACTATCGTAATCCGGTTGCTGTTTTCGATAACACTGAACAGATCGAAGACATACAAATCATCAGGTGCTACCTTTTAAACCGTGTCTCCTTAATTTACCCAAAGGGAAACAGGCTCTCAGAGAAGAAATCAGAACCAGCTGGAGCAAACAAATGAGTTTGTCCCCAGACCAGCGCTAAACCCCTAAGGTTCCTGACACAGGATATGCTCTTCCTTGGTACCCTGTGGTCTCCCCAGAGCTCTGGAGGGGTGAGAGCATGCAGCCATACTCACTTGCTGTCCTCACTCTCCAACAGGCCCCTGTACGTGTTGATCTCACACTCCAACCGGGCCCGGACATCCAGCAGCACCTGGTACTCCTGGTTCTGCCGCTCCAAGTCAGCCCGGATCTCACCAAGCTGGGACTCCACACTGCCGATCATGCATTGCATCTGGGCCAGCTGGGAGCCATAGCGGGCTTCCGTCTCTGCCAGGGTGGAGTCCAAAGCATCTCTCTGGGAAGGCAAGGGTTAAGGGAGGAGGTTAGAGGCCAGAGAACCATTGAGGAAGACCTGCATGCGTGTCAGTGGGACTTCAGAGTACAAGAATGAACACACAAGTTGGAGAGGCAGCTCAGTGGCTAAGAGCACTGGCTGCTCTTCCAGAGGACCCAGGTTTGATTTGTAACACCCATGTGGTGATTTACAAATGTCTGTAATTCTAGTTCCCAGGGATCTGATGTTCTCTTCCGGCCTTCATGGTCATTGCACACACATGACACACAAACACACATGCGAAAAAAAACTCTCATAAACTATAGACACACATAAAATAAAAATACATAAATCGTAAGAAAGAAAGAAGCTTTATGATGGATGACTTCAGACTCGAGATGCTCCTGGAAAATCTGGAACTTTTGGATTGTGGGAATTGCAAGAATAAGTCACTGATATTTGATGGGGGCCTTCTTGATGTGTAAAATCTGATTTTGAATCACAAAGAGCCTTCATTGATTAATAATTTCTTCTCCCTCTCCTCCTCCTCCTTCTAAGGGTCTCATGTAGCCTAAGTTGGCCTTGAACTCACTATGTGGCTAAATCTGGCTTTGAATACCTGGTCTTTCTGGCTCCACTTCCCAAGTGCTAAGGTCATAGATGTGTTTCCCTCTACCACTGTCACAGTAGGCAGCACCTGCATTTAGCAGGACACCCTTAAATAGAAGAGATGTCTTCTTATGGAGGATTTAGGATTTTCAGACATATTTCTATTTTAAAAAAAAGCCTTGTGTGTTTTTATAGCATTTTTGTTACATTTGTAGGTCAAAGTAAATAGCATGCTGATTCATGATATTTATATACCTAGTTAGTGAAATACAGGTCACCATGACTAGTGATATATTAAAAGTGTTATAAATTCTCACATCTAATATGTAAGCTACTCCATGCTGCAACGAGTAGGCCTTCCTTCTGACCATGACTAATATTATTAGTAACTTGTGTTATTTTAGAATGGCATAATCTTTAATGGTAGACTGTGTATTTTTGATGCATACATAAAAAATAAGTTTAACAGAAAAAAAAAGAAAGAAAGAATGGAAGCTCAGAGAGTCACTGAACTAGGAGAAAGCACAGTCAAACACCACCAAAAGTGAGCTAGCCCAGCTCCTGTGGCCCCTTGATCCAGACAGCATCTCCTTCCTACTGGTACCTCTGGACAGCAGTTACACAGAAGGTGGATCTTATTTGGAGGACTCACTCCCAGCATGTGCCAAGTACTACAGACCCTCTTATCTTTCACCCCAAGGGCAATTGTGATGTGTGTCTGACCTTCATGCCCTCTTCTCAACACAGGGAAGCCCTGAGCTAAGAATTTGAACTCTTGGAATCGGTGTGTATGGCCAACATGTGGAATCTGGGGGTTGTGTGCCTCCGAGCTTGGGTCAGCAGTTCTGCCCCACCCCAGTGCTTACCATGCTCTGCTGGGCCTGCAGCTCGATCTCTAAGGAGTTAACTGTGCGTCTCAACTCAATGATGTCCGCCTGGCAGGACTGCAGCTGCTCCGAACTGGACACAACCTGCTGATTCAGTTCTTCGGTCTGCAACACACACACGCACATGGGGTCTGAACAGGAAACCTGAGGTCTCAGCTTCAAAGGTCACAGAGATCACTTGGAACCATGAATATGATAGTCAGGGAACACCTTCCAGATTACCCACTCCAAACCCATTGATGTCGTGCGTGCTGGGGAGACCGCATGGTTACAAGATGGAGTCAAAACCAAAGTAGAGCCCTCCATCTCTGGCTTCAGGCTCAGAGCCCCAGGGATACTTTTAGATGACTTCACCTCTGCTGCGCTGGCCGCTTCCGGGTACCTACCTGGGTGTCATACCAGTCTTCTGCGTCCCTCCGGTTGTTCTCCACCAAGGTCTCATACTGGCACCTCATCTCCTCCAGGACACGGTTCAGATCCACAGGTGGAGCTGCGTCCACCTCGACATTGAGCCGATCGCCAAGCTGGCAGCGCAGTGAGTTCACTTCCTGTGACACAGATGAGGGTCCATTCCTCGGTGACTGCATCACCCGTACTCACCTCTCTCTTCCCAAGTTCTTCTTACATACACCTCCTCCCACTTGCTCTTCTCTCCCGCATACCTGCTCCCCCGTGTTCACCTATTCCTCATACTTATCTCTTCCCCGTTCTTCCCATTCTTAGCCCTTCTTCTGCTCACCTCTCCCCATTGTCATTGGCTCCTCCGTGCTCACCTTTTCCCCATCGCCACCTGGTCCTACATGAATACCTCCTCCTCCCACCCCCATTCTCATCTGGTCCACGTGCTGACCTCTTCCCTAACCTCACTTGGTCCCCCATGCTCACCTCCTCATGGTTCTTCTTGAGGCAGAGCAACTCTTCCTTCAGAGACTCCACCTGTGCTTCCAGGTCAGCCTTGCACAGAGTCAGGTCATCCAGGATCCTGCGCAGGCCATTGATGTCAGCCTCCACCAACTGCCGCAGGGAAACCTCCGTCTCATACCTGAAGACATAGAGCAAGGCACCTGTGATCCCATTTGCATGGAAGTCAAGCCCCACCCCAGGCTGACCTGGCGCTGTAAGTTCTGAGTGCAATTGAACCCTGAGGCCAACCATCACCAGCATCCCGCTGTATCAGCCCCAGCCCGGGGACAAGCAAGGCCACTCACTTGGTCCTGAAGTCATCGGCGGCCAGCTTGGCGTTGTCTATCTGCACCACCAACCTGGCGTTCTCTGCCTTGCTGCAAAGAGTCTGGGGACATAAGGAAGTGATTTCACATAAGAAAGGATGTTCTGTTGGTGACAGCATCCCCCTGAGTCTGACAAGAGCTGCCTGTGGAAGGAGGTACATTCCCATCCATGGATCTCAACAGTGTGGGGCTCCGTAAGGGATGAGAGCTGGTGTCAGACAGTAGACCCTCAAGATCCCTTGCAATGTGGTGTGCCTATGATGTGCAGCCAAGGGCTAGAGACAAGACAAAGGCATGCTACAGGATGCTACAGCGTGAGGAGATGAAGCTTCCTCCTGCCTTCCTGTCCCCAAGGCCTGCTGTGGGCCCAAGGCAGGTTGCTGCTAAGTCACAAACGCTCTCTCTCGGGATCCAGCTGAGCCCAAGGACTTACAGAGAAGGCGTCTTCTCCACTTTACAGGTGCAGAAACAGAGCTTCACTAAGTACACCAAATCCAAGCAATTTGCCTTTTTAGGATGAGGACATTCAAATTCAGAACAGTGGACAGTGGTACCGAAGGTCACACAGCCACTTAGTTAATACAGCCTGTGTTCAAGTATCTGAGTCTGCTAATTGCCATCTGGGTCACTTCATCAGCCTGGCTTTGAGTATTCTCATCTGATAGACTGGGCCAAGACCATCAGAGAGAATAGAAGAAGCCACAGATATAAAAAAGCTTTGTTTCCTCCAAAAGTTCTCTGTGGGATCCAGGCTACTATGACACACATCCTGGCTTCTAGACCTAAAACCACTCCAAATCACTCACCTTCTTCTGGAGCTCCTCCATGGTTCGGAAGTAAGACTGGTAATCAGGGCACATATAGGGCACCTGCTGCTCACACCACTCGCGAATGCGGCTCTCCAAGCTGGCATTCTCCTGCTCCAGCTGCCTCACCTTCTCCAGGTAGCTGGCCAGGCGGTCATTCAGGACCTGCATGGTCTCCTTCTCATTGCCAGTGAGGATGCCCTCCCCAAACCAACCTCCCCCGATGCTGTAGCTGGTAGAAAAACCTCCTGAGGGGAGGCCCAGAGCAGGCAGGCAGCTAGAAACCCTGTAACTGTTTCTACCCAGGCCAGCAGAACACACGGAGAAACTCCGGGTTCCCCGGGAAAGACTAGGCACTTTGCAAGAGCTGCTGGAATACATGGAGGACGTTCGCGTGGAGCCCCCTCCGGATTTACTCGGGCTCTTGAGGGATCCCGAGGAGAAGCTGGCCTTGAAGCATTTGGAAGCCATGGCCACAGCAGCCCAGTAAGCAGTAGATCTCTGAGAGTTGACACCCCAACACAGAGAAGCAGCTCCCTAGCCTGACTTTATACCTCTGCCCCAGTGGGCGTTGGTTAGCCCTTACAAAGTGTTTTCTCCTCATTAAAGTTAATTCCACTTTCTATCAAAACCTCTCATTAGCCTGTTATTTAGCTTCCCGTGAACATACCCTGGCCTCGTAAAACAGAAGCCCCGTTGGACAAGTGGGTATGTGGAGACTCATCCCCACAGCCCTACACCCTGGGAAGGCCCAGTCTGCATCAGTTCTTCAAAGGGGCCTGACATCAGAACCCAGACCTCAGCCTCCTAGTTAAGTAGGCGTGGGAGTCCGGCCACCGTCTTGCCCTCTTCGGCCTTGTTTCTTTTGATGAACAACATTCTGGGGGAGGGGGATGCAAGCCTGCAAGTGGCTGGAAGGCAGGGGCTTGTAGTTTGGGCAAACATAAGAGAATCCTGAGGGGGCCAGAAGATATGATCTTGGTGACCAACTGTCCCAGGTTCCTCTGGACTGCTGTGATTTTAATGTGTGACACAGGAAACTTTTTGTCCTGGACAAAATAGGACAGTTAGTAACCCTCAACCCAACAGAGCCTCAGCAGACACTCTCCAACTCCCTAGCTAGGAGCTCTTTCTGCTTACACAGCCTCGACTCTAGGCAAAATAACTCAAAGTCAAGTCCTGACCCATGTGACAGCTAGAGCCGTGTTTAGGAGGACATGTCTTTTCCAGGTCGGGTAGAAATGGAGGCTTTCCTTCTAGTTGCCTGAATTGGTGGAGGGGGAGGGGGGTATTTGATTCACACTTCTCCTCAGCAGGTACAAGGAACCTGAGCCTCCCGGGCTCATCTCTGCTCTGGAAACTGCTGACCCAATGCCTAGAAAGTTTGATGAGACATCTGGCCAGTTCAGTGTATGAACAAGAGAGTCCTGGAACCAGGGCTGAGGAGAGGTGATGCTGTGGACGGAATGCCGCAGGTGAGAGCTATGAGACCCATCTTCTAAGCTTTCATGCGTTCTCTTCTCTTTTTAAATAATTTATCTTTATTTTATTTTTATTGTTGTTTTGCTGGTATGTATGTCTGTGTGCAGGTATTGGGTCCCCAGAACTGGAGTTACAGAAAGTTTTGAGCTGCCAAGTGGGTGCCGGGCATTGAGCCTGGGTCCTCTGGTAGAGCAGTCAGTGCTCTTAACCGCTGAGCCATATCTTCCAGCCCCTCTGCTTTCTCTTCTAAGAACATCTACTGTCTTCCCTTTGGGAAGCAACCATGAGCTGAGAACTGCGGTGAGCCAAGTACGGTGCTCAGCACCTTCCCACGTGTGCTCTCTTCGGAAATGAGCTCATGGTCCCTAGCCCATAGCTGAGAACAGCAAAGCTCGGATATAACAAGACCACCTGCGTTAGCACCTCCAGCATGTGGCTGACTAAACCTGGGATTCTGTCCCAGGCTGCTTGATAAGATAGCGCCTCTGGAAAATGGTAAGGAGAGAATTGGAGGAGGATCTACAGGGGCATGAGTCACACTCTGGGGTCCCAAGAAAAGCAATCTGACATCTGAACTCCGTGGGCTCAAAAAGCCCCAGCATGAACCACCTGACTCCACCTCCCAGGGTCTCCCCTCCGTTTCTTCTGTAGTGAGAATGAATATCAATGCCTGTGCCCTGGGTTGCCTTAAGCATTAGCTGAGCTTGAAGAAGCTCAGACAGCACCTGTTCGTGGCAAGGACTCCCGGTGGCAGCAGTCAGTCCCTTCACAAGCTCAGTCCTGTTGAAATGGAACTTGGTAAAGCTAAGCAGCTGTCATTAGGCAGTGGGGACAGACTCTAGGCACGCAATACACTCTCTGGTGGGCAATGTGCATAGGTCACTCCCATCAGCCACTGCACCCTTCCCACGGCCTGGGACCCCCGTGTGATCAGGACCCACCCAGCATAATCCTAGGGTGCCATTGGCTGCCTCCGCCTCTCCTCCCTGGACCACCATGCCTCAGTGCTACGATGCAGCTGAGCTGAGAGCCTGGTTGAGCCTCCCAGAGTGTTTGTGCTTCCCACCCATCCCTCTCCTATGTCACAGCCTAGACACAGGGAATGTCTGGGGATGTGTTCTGGGCTCATCAGGGCGACTCTGAAGCAAGAAGTTTTAGGAATTCTGGATTCATCTAAGTCATGACATGACTTCCTTGGTGGGACGTTACACCTGAGCTGCCTAGATAGGGACCAAGTGCTGTCGGCAGCTTCAAACAGTCCTCCAAACCGTCCTGTTAGTGACAACATCAGCGGGGACTTCCGCCACCCCCTTGATATGTGCCAGGATCTGTGCTCCATCCTTCTATGCGCCCTCTCACTCAGTCCTCACGATATCCTCATGAGACACGAGGTTGGCATTACCAGGGCATTATTATAACCCTACTGGGTAGATGACTACTTACGGTGCTTTAGGAGCCAGCCAAGGAGTAGCGGAGGTGACAGAAATGGCTCTTGTTCGGTGTGCAGTCCCCTGAAATTAAACCCCACCATCACCTACACCCTACATAGATAGAAGGGTGCCAACTCCAACAGAAATACCAATGGTGGGGCCATGGATAGTTTATGCAGGGTCCACACAGGTTATGCCAGGAGACCATAGCCCTGCCCATCCAGTGACTCCAGTCCTCAGACATCTCCCGCTGCCTCTGGGGGCTCAGTCCCAGTCATTCCTTCTCCTTAGAGCTCAAGACCCTCTTCAGTCCTGCTGTGCTCAACCAACACTTGGAACCCGCGGAGGTGACTGACAGAACCCCCTCATCCTCCACAAACTGCTATCCTCTCTCTTGTGGTTCAGCCCCATCTTCCCGAGGGACTGCCCTGGGGACTAACCTCAGACTTCCTTTGAAACACCCCTGCAATGTCAACAACGGCGCTGTCCTTCTAGACGTCTCAGAGTATGCGAGTGAGTGTGCAAGGGCGTGAATGTGAGTGAGTGTGTGAGGGAGTGACTGAGTGAACGAGTGGGTTGCGTTACATAAAGAAATAAAGGATTTGGAGGAGGAGAGAGCATAGGAGGGAGAATTGGAAGAAGGAAAGAAAGAATGAATGGCTAGGAGAAGCGGGAAAGGCAGTTAGATAAGGAAGCAGAATCTGCAAGACAGGAACCAGCAGAACCTGCCCCAACAAGCCGGGTCCCCTAGCAGAGAACAAAAGCCATCTGCTCAAGGGAGACAGGAGCCAGTGAGGCAGCTCAAAGGTGTGGCTGAAAAATCCTGATAAGATGTTTTTAGATAATAAGATATTTTGTTTAAAAAACAGATGAGTAATATTTTCAGGGCCATGAAATGCCTATAAACTGTGTTGCTCCATTTCTTTTCCCCCATTAGAATCTAAAAAACTAAAATAAAATAGTTGCCTAGAATTCCATATCAGCAGGAACTACCATTGTTTAGAAGCACCCTGCCAATCTCCCCCTCGAGATCTCTGTCCTCTGTCCAGAACATGGCATGGGCATACTCAACCATGCCCTAAAAAGCCTTCTTGCTTCCTTGTTCTGCCCGTCCAAATCTCAGAACCCTTCCCTAGTCACCCCAACATTCAGCAATCTTTCCCCCAGCTCACAAGCCAAAACCTTACACTTCCCTGATGCTTGCCATCCCTGAACTGATCCTGGAGGGAGAGAAGGAGGTCTCCACCTGGATGGTTGCTTCCTGGGAGCCGTGACTGTTATCCACAGTTAATGCCACTAATGCCACGGCCCTGCTCCTCCCTCACTGAGCCCTGGTGCATAGTAGCACAGGTTTTGCTGGCTGGGGTGGGGAGGTCCTCAAGCATTGCCTTCTAATTTACTCACTGAAGCAAGCGTGTCTGGGAAAGAGGACCAGATAGTATGTCTAGAAAGCAGAGAATAAATTGACCACCTTGGAAGTAAGTGCCCTGTATCATCTCATCCCTCTCCTGATGTCATGGAGAGAGCAATGGGCTAGGAGTCAAAAGAGCCAAAGAGTCCTAGGACTTCCGATTGCCATGCAATATTGCCCTCCAGTTTTCCCATTAGTGGCCTCAGCTAAGGGTGTGTGGCTGAGGTTGAGTATGGGAGGGGTTTCTTCACTACCGCAAGTGCTCCGAGGGACTTAGTAGTAATTGAAGCGATGACACATAAACAAACCAAATACAATCATCCCGGGCTGTTTGAGTGTAGCCCGAAGACTCTTCATTTTGGTTCAGACCGACGCTGGTGAGCACCACATTTAGAGTGCTGGCACACACTGTCCCATCAGGGCCCCAGAAGCTCCAAGGCTCGGATGAATTGCTGGGACCAAAGGAGTCCTTGGGCATGCCTGGGCACGCGCTGTTAGAGTAACAGAGCAGTCATAGCCAAGACACTTCCATTCTGCCTGTGAACATCTCCTGGGACCTACCTGGGCTGCTTCTGCTGAACCTCTGGACTCCTCCTGTTTGGCTTAGTCATCAGATATATAGTAGCGTTGGCAGCACTATCTTGGCAAAAGCAGAAGAGCCAGGAGATGGCCAGGACTCAGCCCCTCACTGCTGCGTGGTCTGGTGTAAATCATTGCCAGCTCCGGGTCTGTGATCTGAACTGAAGAATAGGTCAGAAGGCAGAGAGGCCAGCATGGGACCTCTGACTTCTCATAGACCCGGCTTCTGTGATGAGGAGGGTATCCAGAGCCCAACCCAATTAAGATCCATATGCCAGTCAGCACAGCTCAGTTGGGGTCACCCGCACACCCTGAGTGCCATTTCACATAGCAGACTGGCCATCCCCTGTACCACACTGTCCCTGCCACCCCGTACTTCCTGTAACTGGAATAAAAGACCAGTGAACAGAAATGGGAATTGAATAATGTTGTACTTTACTAGGCAAGATGGTGAGCTGAAAAGGTAATGGGTTTACGTGTCTCAGAAACATCCTGCCTCTCATCTCATCTCCTGCCAGCAACATCACAGGCCATGGGAGTGGGCGAGAGAATAAAAGCTGTCAAACACTCTGGAGCTCAGGCTCGCCTCTCCTGTCAGGCATCAGATGCATCCCTGAGACTTGTATGTCTATGCCTCTATCACCTCAGTGTTCTTCCCTCAT